GGCTGCCTGATGTCTGCCGCCGCCGCCGCCGCCGCCGCCGCCTCGGAGAGAAGAATCCGGCTTACGCTTATACGGTAGGTGGTGGTAGTTATGCGCCGGTGCTTCGGGGGGACCAGGAGGAGGCGGAGGCCGTAAATAACGGTCTATAGTTCTCGAGGGGGAGGGTTGTTGGGCCCCCTCGTTGAAAAGCTATCTTTGGCGCCTCGTCCGCGTGCGCTAACCCCTTCTCGCGAGCGCGGCCGGACGGGAAAGGAGGATCCTCTGCGGAATTCTCAGGAAGAGATCTACTGATTGACGGACACTTTCCCCGCTGACAGAAAGCTCCCTCGGCGAGCCGCCTTTCGTACGTCACCCGTCACTCGTCACTCGTGCGAGGAAATTAAAAGAAGTGAGAAAGAGGGGGGGGGGCGGGAGGAAGGGAGACGAAAATTAGCGGCAAATTTCCGCTTGTGAGAAAATTTGGAATCACTCGGGGGCAGATAACGTTCGCGGAAGAAATCTCTCGGAATAACGAGCAGTCTCGTTCTTTTCTTACATCGGCGTTTTGGAACGCGTCTTATCGGGAAGACGCCGGCAGTTTTGTCTCGCCGGAAGATCGTAAATTCGCCGTTTAAAGCGCGAACAACGAGCTCCGCCTCTGACATTCGCGAAAGCCTGGTCGGACGCGCCCGAGGATGAAACCCTCGATTATTCAAAGTGGTTCATCGACGTCGGCGGAACGCGGCTTAACGATCTCTTAACGCGGCCAGCCATTATCTGGAGCACATCGATCACCGCGATCAATTCTATTGAGCTCTACAATCTACCTGCGATGATCGCTGGCGGAGATCCACGTCGAAATTTCGAAACGATCGGTTGCCTCCTCACCACCCACCCCCTCCTCTTCTATTTCATCTCTGCACCTCTCTCTCTCTCTCTCTCTCTCTCTCTCTCTCTCTCTCTCTCTCTCTCTCTCTCTCTCTCTCTCTCTCTCTCTCTCTCTCTCTCTCTCTCTCTCTCTCTCTCTCTCTTTCTCTTTTGCTCGTCGACTTCTGGCCGCTTTAGGTCAGGTTTAGACGAGGCGTTTAGGCGAAGTTATCAATCGTGTTTTAGACAAGACGACGAACTCTCACGCTTCGTTCTTCCTCTTTTCGGCCTCGTTTAGCGTTTAAACGAACCAGAGCCCTCGCCTACCAAATCCGCGAATCTCTTCAGTAGATTCGATCGGGACTCGCGCGTTGTCTTCCAATCGCGAGGAAAAATACTCCCTCGAGATAAAAGTTGGTCTTTCATCAGAAAGGAAAGAAGAATAAAAACATATACAGAGAGAGAGAGAGAGAGAGAGAGAGAGAGAGAGAGAGAGAGAGAGAGAGAGAGAGAGAGAGAGAGAGAGAGAGAGAGAGAGAGAGAAGTCGCAAGTTTCACAGCACACAGTTAATTTTCTCAAACGACGTCTTGCGTTACCCTCCATTTATATCTCCAAATTAATCGGATTCAAATCGGTGCTTTTTTCCCGTCATACGACGCGAAAAATTCAAACCGGTTTCCAGCGGACGATCGAAAATGATCGCGTTACTTTCGCTCGGTCACGCCGCCGTCGCCGTGCGGAAATCGCCGCTTCGACTTTCCGGTCGCCGCGCGAGCATCTCCGCGACGTTTCGTCCTGACGACGACGACGACGACGACGACGACGATGTCCTCCTCGTCATCCTCGTCCTCGCCCACTTACCTGGTGCCGGCCTGGAGCGGCCGGACGGTCTCGCCGGCGTTCCCTTTACCTGGCCGATTGAGCGCGCCGAAGGAGAATGAACGAGATACGAGAGGCGGAGAGGCGCGAGAAGCAATATGCAGATTTAACGTTGCGAGTGACCTTTGTCGGTCGTTGCACGTCCCGTCAGATAGCTCTCGGGTGCTCTTGCACTCGGTTCCGCTGCGGATCGGCCGACGGTGCATACCAGAACCGGGCGCACCGCGCGGGGGAGGAAGGCGGCCGAGGGAAGGGAGTTGCACGGGGCTACCGATCTCTCTCTTTCTCTCTCTCTCTCTCTCTCTCTCTCTCTCTCTCTCTCATCAGCGGCCGTTCGCTTTATCCAGCGAGGTCCAGCGAGTAGGAGCCGCGATTAAGGAGTCGACGTTCGCCCTTCGCTCTCCTGCTCCCTTCCTCTCTCTCTCTCTCTCTCTCTCTCTCGCTCTCTCTCTCTCTCTCTCTCTCTCTGCCGGCGCTGCCGCCTCGGCAGAATGAGAGTTATCGATCGCGGGTTCGAGTCTCTTTGTCGGAGGAAGTAACCGAGAGCTGTGCGTTCGGTCGGTCAGCAGCCTCCACCGACCGATTCCTCGGGGACGAGAGGACGACTCGCTGCGGTCTACCTTTTGCCGGGGACGGCAGCCGCTCGCGCGTGAGTATTCGCGAATACTCGATACTTTCGCTCCTTTGTGCCGTAGAGCCCGCGAGCATCCGTCGGCGGGCGACGTGTGCGAGGAGCGTGCTCGCTCTTCTAACCCGTGAACGCTTCCAGAGCAATCGCGTCCCCGATCGACGTCCGGGCGTCGATTAGAGATCGCTCGGCCTTAACGAGATAATACGATTAATTATTAATAAATCAGCGTCCCGAGTCTCGCGTATCGTCGTCGGCCGGCCTGAAAACGCTTAGTCACGCGAGAACTGGACGCCGCGCCGCGTTGGACACGCGTGCCTCTGGAGCCTTTGGAGCCTCTGGAGAGGTCGCCGGCGGCGCGTTCTCGCGGTCGTCAATGTGCCTGGCGTTTTCCAAATGTGTGCGAGATCCGTCGGTCGTACGAGAGTCTCTCTCTCTCCTCCCCCGCCCCCGCCCCTCTTCTGCATCTCCATTTCTTATGAACGCATTCGATCTCCGGCAACGTGCACGGCCGATCACGTTTCGGCCTCCTCCTGCGTCGTGGTGCGCTCCTGCTCCCGCGCTTCTTCGTCACCTTCTCTCCTGCTGCTCCTTTTCCTCCTCCGCAATTCAGTTTGTTTTATGGCGGAGGGAAAGTGGCGCGCCCATCATCCGGTAACTGCGCTCCTCCTGCGCAGCATCCTCGCCAAGTTCTTCGCGCCGAGCGTGCGTGACTTATTCGCGCGCGCGCGCGCGCGCGCGAATTTCGTTTGCGGCCGAAGGACGCCACGACAGGACCTGCGACAACTTGCGAGCCTTGCCTGCCGTATTTTTCTCCAAAATTCCGTCGGACACATGTCTTTCCTTCCGCAACATTCGATTAGAAAGAGGAGAGAGAGAGAGAGAGAGAGAGAGAGAGAGAGAGAGAGAGAGAGAGACTATACAAGTTTAGAAGAAGGAAATTTTTAATCACGCAAGAGACATCTCGCTTCGGTTGCATGTTGCATATGCGAATGCGTTAATTTACGATTAGGTAATGTGCGATTAGATAATAGCGATTAGATATGTGGTCGACTAGATACGCGCGTCCGATAGATAAGGCGGTAATATTTATTGCGCTTTGCGGAGGAAATGATTGCGGCTATTTTTATCGTCGGCGCGCCGATGGCTTATTTTTTTTCGTTCCGGTTGCACCTCTTTTGCCCTCGCGAAAGTCGATTGATTGCCCCCTCGTTCGGGCCGTTTCTCAATCGTGTCCTCGAGAACGAACGAGCGAGCGAGTCTCCCGCCAGGCAAACGTAACCTGAAAAAAGAATCGCATCGGCAATTTCGCATCGATATTACCGCGATCGCGAACGATGAATACAAACCGAATGCGAATCGGCCGATTTTTCGATCGGGCGCGGAGAAAATCCACATTTGACCGCTCTGGCGCGCTTGCTTGTTGCTGAAAAGTGTAAAGATTTTTGTTCTACGTCAGGTTTCTCGTCGAGAGAGAGTTTTACGGAAAAAGGGAAACGACATGCTCCGACATAAAATTCTTTCTCGACCTGGTCTTCAGGTATCGATGCAAGAAGACAGACACTTTTGTTTCCGCCAATTGCTTTCCTTAAAACAGCTTCCCGAGAGGTCATCAGAGAGTACACCTCGGCGATCGGAACTCGTTGAAACCCGGGCCTCCTCGAGCGGCCAGTAGGTCGATAGGAAATTGAGCTCTCTCTTTTTTTCATCTTTCTTCGGTTTATCCTGGCCGCTCTCGCGGGCACGTACCAAATAAATTGAATTCGGCCGGCAGAGGCGCGATCGATGTGTAAACTCGCACGTGATTGGCGCAGGCGAGCGATAGCTCGCACGTGAGCCGAGGTGAGCGCACATACAGGATACCTGTGAGATGAGCCGAGAGGTCAGCGTGTGTGCGTAAGGGCAACGGGCCGTCGGTGTGCACGGGGACATTAGATAAATACATTCGTAACGTCTTCTCGCGCGTCTACAAGCGCGACAAGCGCGAGGAAGGGAACTGCTTAGTTACGCGGGATTTTTACTTAGGCATGACGAATACACATACATGGATATGTAAAGAGAGTTGCAATATTTACTTACGATCTGACGATCGAGTTCCCGCGGCTTCAGAGGTCAGATGTCGGCGGTATGTGAAATTGTTTATTTAACGCAACAATGCGCACGAATTTAAATCGCTAGAATTTCAGTGGATTACAAAGCAGCCTCTTCGATTCGATGCATAAAAGTCGAACGAACAGGAGAGACCCGTCAGGAATCAGGTAGACGCGTAACTTTTTATACCACCAGTCATCGAAAAGGGTACTTCCACGTCAAGAGATTCCTCCTCGCATTGGCGCAGCATGCAAAAAATTGTCAAGCGACATGTCGCGATGAAATTTTAGCCCCCGCTCTTATCGCGTCAGGAAAATTCGCCGCTACTCGTCGGATCGTTCTGCCCAAGCTGCATTAATTTGTAACAGAGCGAGCCTTCGCTGCGTGTTCGTTACACGCCAAACATGATTCATGATTATCGGTCGATTCGTGCGGAAATATTTCAGCATTCTCGCGTATATATTCTAACTAATAGCGTTGGTGAAGTAACAGAGCTGAATTTTCAGCGGAAAATCGCGAATCGCGAAGCAGAGGAATAGCGGAAGATGTTCCGAATGGAAGTTTTCGGTCTCGCTCTTAACGCTCGGCTAAATATCTCGATCCTACTCTAATGTCGTCCGTGGAGAGTATCGCAGAACAAAATCTTCGCTGCCGCAGCACGAAGCGGTTGTCATTTGGTAGTCAAACTATCCGGGGATCACTTTCGACAATAGTCGACGACGCGGCGACATTTAGCCCGAGACCGTGCCGCTCGTCGGATCGTGAATCCCCTTCGACGTTCCTTCCAGTTATGTGCGTACAATTCTCGTCGTTTCTGCGCGCAATCGATCAATTATTTCTTTATATACCTCTCGAATAATCGCCCGGCTCTTCTTCTCTTCCTCGTTACAGATCCGTTCAGGCAGGCAGGCAGACCGTGAGACCTCACCACCTGACTATCTTTACGATCATCATTCGGCGGTTTACGGATTCGGTGAGTTTTATTCACAGCGTCACCCGAAAGTACACTCGCCCACAAGGATCGCGCGCAAAATGCAACACACATTCCCACAGCCTAACCCAACCTAACGTTTACCTTAAATTAGCCGTGAAAGCCGAAACATTTACTTTCCATTAGGCGCGAAGGGGTTAATTTACACCGCGCTCTCGGATCGCGTAAAAATACGAAATGCCACAACCGCTAAACAACATTTGCCAGCCCGAAGTGTGCTGACAGGCATAAAAAGCCAAGTGGCGCGCCATCGCGCGAGAGCAAGCTTCCTCGATGCATCGGCGACTCGCCGCGGCACGTGGTTTGATCACGTGTCGGCCTATATCGCGCGGAATCGTTCCTCGTCCTCTTCACGGTTTCTGCACGTGCCTCTGTCTCTTGATAATGAGATAAGTTCATACGTCTACGCTCGCCGTAGGCGCAGAGAAAGGTGTTTATCATTCATTTCTGTCGTTGCCATTCCTGGAAGTTGCAATCGCGCTCCCTCAATTAGAATGCGTTTACAAGCGGCACTCGCGCATCCTTTCTACATAGACGCGAGGCATTTACGTAATTTATTACGTCCGTGTAACACACGGCGCGCGCGTCGTATCTCGCTTACGGGATAATCGCGCGAGGAGTTTTCCACCTTCGCGCGGCAAGCGCGAATAGTTCGATTATAGAGTCATTATCTCACGCTGCCGTCTCTGTCACTGACGATTACGCGCGCGCGACACACGGATGTGTTGTTGTTGTTGGACGAAATGGTGCTGCTTCGACAAGCGCGCGCGTTGCTGCCGGACGACAAGAGATCGAATTTTCTACAAAATCTCTTCTTCTTCTCTTCACTTTCAGGCGTCACTTTCAGGCGGCCCTTTCGCGGTCCCCCCAAGCTCACCCCCAATCATGACGCTCCTCGTATACATCACCCTCGGTGCGTGTTTCCTAATTCTGCTCTACACCCTCCGCAAAAATCGCAAGACCTTCCGACTGCCCCCGGGACCACCCGGCATCCCCTTCCTCGGCTATTTACCGTGGTTAGACGCGAAGAACCCTCACTTGTCGCTGACGAATCTCGCGAGGAAGTACGGAGCGATCTGCGGACTCCGAATGGGCTCGGTCTACACGATCCTGCTGTCGGATCCTCGGCTGGTGAGGCAAGCCTTCGCTAAGGACGCGTTCGCCGGCAGGGCTCCGCTCTATTTGACGCATGGGATTATGCAAGGATACGGTGAGTGAATTTCTTCTGCTGTCAGGCAGGAACAAAGACCCGGTAACATTTCGCTCCGGCATAAAGCGAGAGAGAGAGATAGAGATATATATATATAGAGAGAGAGAGAGAGAGAGAGAGATATATATATATAGAGAGAGAGAGAGAGAGAGAGAGAGAGACGACTGACCCACATATAATTTGGCAGACTGCTGGTAGAAGCTGATCGTATGATATACCGTATAATTATTAGTCGCGTCCTTCTTTTGACCCGCGATCTAATATATATAATTTGAGTAACCCGTAAAGAGAGTCTCGCGCGTATGGCGTCGTGTACGCCGTACGCTTGTGGCGAGTCCGAGTCGAGCGAGCGAGTCGCGCGCGGCTTGCCGGGAGAGAGAACCGGTAACAATGGAGCGCGACCAGTCACAATGGAAGGGCACTGCTGGTCGTTGTAGGACGGTAACGGTTCCTCTAACGAAGGAAGTCCCGCGGCCGTGGGCCGACTAACCTACTAAACAGCTAAAAAATCCACTTGCGGCCTGCGACGGTAGGCCTTAGGATCCACAAAAAGCTGAGATCTCGTGGCGAGGAAACGAGGTCGGGCCGAAGCGACGCCGAGGGACCCGTCTCGGAGGATTTAGAGAGCTTCCGGCTGGCGTACGTCACGGCGTCGCGTCTGCACGTCGGTAAAATCGCCGACCTACAAGCACTCTTCCGCGCTAGCCCGACGTGTACGTACAGTGAAAGTTTCTTTGAGGAGACCTCGCCCGGGTAAGTAAAGCCGCGAGAAACGAGCAATTTCTTTCGCTGAACGGCGCATCGCGTCGTTTGCCCGCGACTCTAACAGCTCCCGGTCGCGAGGACTCTCCTCGCGGCGAAGTCGTTGGAATTCGCTCGGAAGTCATTCCGCTAGACGGTCGCGCGAGCCCGGCTTTTTTCCCCGGATTTCCGCCCGTTACACAACTCCTTTATCTCTTCTTTCTCGAGACGCTTCTGCGCGCTGCCCGCCTCGTAGCGTGTCTCGGCTAAAGCCTGCGGTACCCCATTTTCTGCTGGAACCCCGCTCCTGCGGTTCAGACTAACGATCATGTGACTTTCCCCCAGCAGCGGAAACGCGAAACGTGAAAAGTTTCACGTTTCTTTGTCTCTCTCTCTCTCTCTTTCTGCGTCGAAGTCTCTCTTCGAAAAGTCTCGCGATCGCGCAAAATCGACGAGATGGCGCGCGAAACTTTTCACGTTTCCGCTGTTGGAGCAAATTTACACGATCGCTGTCGCTCCGGACGCTCGCCGACGAAATTCGCAGACGCGCGGAAGAGAGGGAGGGAAAATTTGCGCAAGCTGTCCGCAACTCCTGCAGGCTTCCGCGGCAATTCTCTAGGACACACGGCCGTAACGCAACGGCCGAGGACGCTCCACTAAGGAGAATAGAATATAGCTAGTCAGCCTGCACGACACGCTGTCCCATTCTCTCTCGCAGCGTGGACTCTAAATCCAAGTGCCGTTACGATTTCCGATTTACGAGCAGTGTCGCCGATCGCCGGGCGACATTCGATAGCGGCTCTCCGCGGGATCGCCCCGTTATACGTAACGCATGAGGCGTTGCCGAACATAACGCTCGGTAGTCGTCGGAGATCGTCGCACCTCGCTGGGTCTCCTCGTCGTTTTCGCAGGAACGCTCAAGCCTGGCAAGTTTAATCGATGTGTGCCGCTGCTTTGCGAGGCACCACGGCAGTCTCTCATTGTCAGCACCGTTTAGACTCGGTTCATTAATTCAGTAGAAACCACTGGAACACCGAGTCGCCGTAAAACTCGGAAGTAACGTAAGAAATACGAGGAACATCCGTAAAAGTCGGCGCGGTCCGACCGGTCCTGTCGAGGGCGCGAAGGCGATCGTTGCCGCTCGTTATCCCCGGCTAGCCTCTCCCCGAAATTTACGCGGCACAGCCTTTGTTTCCAGATGGAAATAGGGTTACTCGAACGGCCGTAAGTTTCGGCCGCGGCGCGTCTGAAAATTCGCCGGCAAGACCACGAATTCCGTCGGCGGCGGCGGCGGCGGCGGCGGCGGCGGCGGCGGAGGAGCCGAGCCGAGCCGTGCCGTGCCGTGCCGTGCCGTGCCGTGCCGAGCGGAGCGGGACGATAATTTCACGGCAAAGTGTACCACGGGACCCGGTGGGTACCTTACACCTCGTTTCGAAAGCTCCCATCCTCTCGTTCGCGATCTGCCGCCGTGTTCGGTGCGTTCCCCTCTTTCTCTCTCTTCCTCTCGCTCGCTCTGCCCCCCTTCGGCCCTCTCGCGCCCTCCTCCCCTTGCGGTCTTTTTTTCTTCGATGCTCGCTGCATGCACGCGCGTGTGCGTGAGCCTTCGGCGATGTTTACGAGGCGCCATGCCTCCGAGTCAACGGCCCCGTGATTTCTCCATTCATTTCTTTCGAGCTGACGCTGCCGATCTTTCACAAACGCGCCGATCTAGCGGCCCGATTAAGTGACTCGCGTGCACTCGCCGAGTGCGAGTGGTCATATCGTACGGACGATTTCTCGAGGACAACTCGTCGTCAACGATTGTGCGGATCGAACGCGCGGATCCTCGTTCTCGTCGGACGTAGTACGTTCGAAAATATTCAGCGCTCCTTTCTCGCCTCGGGAGCAGCAAGCTCTCGGCAAAAGCTGCTCTCGACCTCCCGAGAAATCTCCTCGGCTCGGTTCGCAAGCTTGATTTGCTCCGAGGAGCGAGAGAAGCGGGAAATCTGAAATTCCTTGGCAGGAATTTATCCGACGATGAAACGAGTCCGTCATTTTCATCAAAGAGAGAGAGAGAGAGAGAGAGAGAACGTGCATGTTTTTTATGAATCGCGGGCATAGAAATTCCAAGAGATTTTTTTTTTCTCCGGCCAGACGTCGAAGCGCAGTCGAAGGCGAGAGAAAATCGGCGCTCGGACGACGAGCGTGCCCGAGGACGATTTCGATGTGAGCGCACCGGGAGCGAGTCGGCGAAGTGCGATCGATTCGGCGCAGCCCTTTTAGCGCGTGCACTCTCGAGACATTGAGACGCTTCTGGTACCTTTCACAAGAAACTGCGTCTAGATAGTCTTCCTCCACTCCTCATGGATGCCCCTCCAGGAGATCCAGGAAAGATCCTCCCGCCGCGTGAGTCTCCTTTCTTTCTCTCTACCGGTATCAAGCTTGGTGGGGTGATCCTAGCCACGCCTCCGTCTCTCAACAGGTACCGTCCGCAGGTACGTAATTTCGTGATAGCTCAAGTCTCGCGTGTTAAACTTGGATCAGCTTTGAACATTGGGCTCGGGAGGAAAGGGCGATTTCGGAGAGTCTAACGCGCGTCCCAAGTGATGAGGCCCGGGATTAGTCGGACGAGCAGCAGCGCAGCTGCCGCGCCGGCCGCGCGGGCTCTCTCTCTCTCTCTCTCTCTCTCTTTCTCTCTCTCTCTCTCTCTCTCTCTCTCCACTTCGAGGAGCGCGTCGCCACGCGTTGAAGTCGCCGCGTGTCGAGAAGGCGCGCCGGAAGACGCGCGTGTCGTTCTCCCGGCGGCGGCGGTGCGGCGGGACCCAGACCGCTCATCGATGCCGCAATTTTTTATTTAACAATGCGTCGTAATGACTTTGAATCAGAATATAATAGTCCCGACGAGGACTCAGGACGATTTCACACACGCGAGCGTGATTATCGCGCTCGTAGGATGTCACGATTATTAATTCAACAATGTGCGAAGTGCGGGAGCACGATTCGAGGCTCCCGCGGAATGCTCGCGCGAGTTCGTCGAGGAGAATTCGCGATTGCAAGGTGAAAGATTTTTACTAAGCGAGTCGCGGTCGCGCGGTAAGATTCTCATTTCGAGGCGCGTGCTTCGTTCGTGTATGCTTCTTTCTTCCCCTGCCATTGTTTGCATTCCACCGTCGTTGTCTCGCTCGCTGTCCCTCGCGGAGTCTCGCGAACTGCACGGTGAATCGCGAGACGATGCGCGCGTTACGATGCGAGAGATTCGCACGGGGAAGAATATCGACTCGCGCGCGGACGGCGCGTGCCTTCTGACGACGCGCAACCCGTGATTACCCGACAGCGCGCGCGCGCGCGCGCGCGTTTACACGCGCCTTTATGGGCGCGCTCACATTTCTTATGCGGCCGGCAAACTGGTTGGCCCGTCACGATGGATAATGTAACGCGCGTAATAGCGTTAATTTATTATAGAGCGCACCGCGGGTAACGCCGGTAACGCGCGCCGTTTGCGCCGTGTAAACACATTACGAAACTTTCCATACGCGCCCAATTCGCGGTCGTCCGGCTGGCGGGAAATTTTCCGCTGCCCGCTCCTTGGAGATCGCGTCGAGGTCCACGGAAATACAGTTGCGCACGAAGGCAACGACGATCGCTGATGGACGGTCGCGTGGAATTGGTACGCGCCGCTGATAAAATTCCAGCCGTCTCGCTATTACGCGTTTAAATCGTCGGCGTGAGACACAGTTGCGTACGCCGACGTGGAGAGAGATATCCCACAATGATGGTATTTCTCGGAACGGCCGTAGCGATCGTTCTAGGAAGTGCTTCTAAGCGAAATTACCTATTATAACGAGTAAATGCAGCGGCGATCGTGCGAAGGATCATGGGAAGGATAAGACGGATCGGAAATGCCGCGGATACCGCGCCGGCTCTCTCAGGTAACGGAGAACGATCGGCAAAGTACCGGCCGCGATGCGGACCAAAGTATTAATAGGCTTCTGGGAAGCGAACCGAAAGTGAGAGTAACGTTAATCCTTATAAGACACGTCTCGCACGCCGAAGATACCAGGAAATCGACGACTATTTCCAACGTAGTTGAATCGAATTCGGGAGGTGTAACCCACTTTTGCGGGATTCGCGCGTTGCTTACAAGATGTCGTATCGTGAAGAAAAAAAGTAATTCGTTCCCGTAACGTCACAATGTAGGCGTGGTGTATCTCTTTCTCTCTCTCTCTCTCTCTCTCTCTCTCTCGGGCGTCTTTCGGCTCTCTGGAAATATACCGAATTGA